AAAAAAAAAACATTAAAACAATATTAAAAATTAAAAATAGTCAAATATGAAACACTCAAATACTTCAATCATTCAAAGATTCAAAGCATCAAACTAGTCTACGAGTGTATATATGTCATATTATATATATGTATGCGCGCGCGCACACACACATATATATAATACAAAAAATAGGTCGAGCCAATCAGGTTAACTCGACCGAAATGGACGAGTTAACTCGACTAACTTAGATGCTAGGCGGCCAAATTGGCCGAGTTAGGCGCTAGGCGGACGCCTAGGCGGCCGGTAACCTAGGCGGGCGCCTAGGAGAGAAATCGCCACGGTCTAGAGGCGCCTAGCGCCTAGGCGGGGCCTAAGCGGGCGCCTAGACCGATTTTTACAACCCTGTTATTATTATTATTATTATTATTATTATTATTATTATTATTATTATTATTATTATTATTATTATTATTATTATTATTATTATTATTATTATTATTATTAATTATTGTTGTTGTTGTTGTTGTTGTTGTTGTTATTATTATTATTGTTATGTTATTGCTGTCTCCACGTGACGCTTGACGTCGAGAGGTTTCGGATTCCAAGGGCGCTGGTGCGCAGATTCTGGATTGTGAAGCTCCTAAGTGACTGCGTGCTGACGGAGTATCTCCAGCGCCTGTGGTTTATGCATGGCAAGGACAGAGCCAAAAATTTGGTTGAGGGCCGGGGGGGGGCAAAAAAATACAGACGGATTTAGAAAATTTTTCCAATAAAGATGAAACATTAAAACACCTAAGAAATATAGGATTTGAACCCTAGTCCATTAATATTACCAAACATGTGCCCTACCAACCAATCTAACTCATTTTTTATTAACATTTAGTAGTTTTTTTATACTAATACTAAAACTCGTACTATATATACATATATACATACAAAGACTATATATGGGGTGGGGGTGGGGTGGGGTTAGGGGGGCAGCTGCCCCCCTTTGGTTCTGTCCCTGGTCTATCGCATTTGAAAGCAGGGTGAACGGAGGCTGCATGGAGAGCGCCGGCGCCGCTACGTTCTTAACATTATATATGCTCTATCAAATATTATTAAATGAATTCATTTATCATTTGTGCAACACAAGTTTTATTGTTCTCATATAGGACATTAAGGATAATTCATAACATAACCGATTTGAGACTTAGGGGATAAATAATACATACGGTAGACAAATTGTAGCCATAGAAAATAAGTGATCAGATCAATGATTAAAAATCAACATTCTAAATCCATACATCTAATTAGCAATCTAAATCACTCATACATATCAATTGAGGGGCAAATCTAACTAAGCAAAATTTTAAACTTTCGTCGAAATAGGTAAGACAACGACAAATAGGAGTTTTTATATATTAAATAATAAATTATTTTTACTATTATTAAATATAAGAAAATCTGATTGTTTTGTTAACACATGGAGCAAAGGACACTAAAATGGGGTGTTGTGTTGTACTCTGGGTGACGGTGTGTGCTCATGTATAACATCGTGTGCACACTTATATATTGCTCTATATTGCACAAGCACATGATCATTAGATGCAAACCACAATTCACTTGCATATGTACTGTATTGCACACACGCCAAGTTTACAATGCACACACAGATCACATAAATAAAAAGTACACACTAAGACATGATGAGGTACATACATACGACGAAAATACAAATGTACACCTACAGAGACCATAATGCACACCAGTACATTGTCTGCGAAAACTACATATATGTCAATCACAAATATAAAAAAAAAAAAAACATATATGTCAATCACAAATATAAAAAAAAAAAATATTGTACTTAAACTATAGACGGTTAAAAACATAAAAATGAACTTGAGTCCATGGTTAAATAAAATAATGTAGAAAAAATTCAAAGCAAAAAAACAAAAAAAAAAAAAACCACACAAAGAAAGAGAGTACATAAGTAATAAAGTCCAATTTTATCAAAATCAAGCATAACATCATCATCATCATAAAATAATAACAAGATTTAAAATAAAATAAATTCATTCTCCAAAATCACAGGAATATTAAAAAGATTAAAACTAACATATATTTACCATACCACCCCTGCCTAAACCTACATGCCGAAATTAAAAATAAATAAATAAATAAATAATCACAGCCTTACACATCCCTAAGTTACAATTTACTATCCACTAAAATGATACCAGATCCATGCAGAGTAGAAGTGAGACAAATCAGTGAACTGAACTGCATAACTGATGAAGAAATCATATGTTTATGAATCTGTACATAAAGAAGAAAAATAGCAAATTGATTCAATAGATACAAGAAATCCCAATACAGGAAGCTACTCAAACAATCATACAGTGGAACTTTGCATCATGGCAGCAGCACCGCCGGTGCCTAATACGGGGTGAAAACCTCCTCCATTGATCGGGGGGATCTGATCTGTGTTCCATAGCAGTGGTCTTTGCTGGCTTTCTTCCGCTTTTTCCAAAGTGTTGTCATGAGTTGCTTTCTAATACGCCTTTTAGAAGATTGGATCTTTCCGTTGATGCGCTCTGCCTGACTCGTGTTTGAGGCGTTTCTATCTGAGGCGGAGGATCGGGGGAAAAACAAACCACGATTACTGTCAAGTTGTCACAAGTGTTGCGTTTGAGAGCTTCCCTAACTAGCTCTCTTGAACACCTCTCGGGGTCGTTGTGCATCATCAATTCCTTCCTGGCCATTGTCACAGCACACTGGCTACTCATCACATCCCAAAGACCATCGCACCCCATGATTAGGAACTCATCGTCATCCGTCAATATAATCTCTTGCAACTCCGGCTCTGCACTCAAGGGGCAGGCAGAGCCCTTTGGAGTCTTCATATGCCAGTCTCCCAATGCCCGCGCTACAGATAGTTGGCCGTTTAAGTATCCATTATAGATGACACCTCCGAGTTTTTCAATCCTGTGTCTCTCAGACTTGCTATCTGGTTTATGGTCCTTGGATAGCTCAATGGCTCTCCCTCGTTTCCCCAAAACAGCACGACAATCCCCAGCATTCGCAATTACCAATTTTCTGTAACCAGTAGTATAATATTATCATTGTTCCTTTCCTTTTGACAAAGTATAGAATAATGAAAACGTAAAGACTAACTAACCGTTCACATAAGAGAGCAGTCAGTGCTGTTGTGCCAGAGGATGTATCAACAGAGCTATCATCAACAAAGGCATAATCAGCTTTCAGAAAAGCGTTCTTCATTGCCTTTTCCAGGCAGATAGGAAAACAAGAGTCCTCTATTATAAACTTGAGAATATTATTCCTAACAAACGATGCAGCATCCGTTCCACCATGGCCATCAAAAACCTTCCAATAAAAGAATAAAACCAATTTCTCATTAACCTTCGGCAGACACTAAAAAAGTATTATATCTCAGATAGCACCATTTTACTCTACAGAGAAGTAAAGCTCTAGAAGAAGTATTATGCAAATCATATTTACTGATTAACTGTTCCATTGAGATTGAGCAAGGAGAGAAGAGCGACACATTAAACTACACCAACACTAAAAGTTATTAGAAGCATCTATCTATCTAAGATACACACCCCATAGAAAGGTCCTGGAGAAGCGAAACTGGCAGATTCTCCCAAATACTCGATCACCTACATTATCTATTCCAATGTGTTCATCCTCCATGTACTGCTTCGGTCCCATCTCAGCACAGCTTCCAGATCTAAATACAGGTAGAAAGCTCGGCTTTCCTTCTATCTCCTTGATGTCAACACCGAAATCCTTGAAAAGGATAAGAATTGAAAATTTTAGGCACTTGGTTTCTCAGAGTCTATTGACCATCATAAGGGTAAAGGAAAAAAGAGAGAAAACAGAAGAACAATCCAGACTATAAATGCTAATTCTCACAATCAATAACAGGAAAAGCAAACTCATTAAGATTTTCCTCATAATTCCAGAATTTGGAAGATTTCTCTCAAGTGAATGCCAGCTTGTGATTTACTCCCTCTATTTTTTTTAAGTTGCTGCCATATATATTTATATAAATAAAATAAAAACGATGTTAGAAGCTAGATGATACAAAAGCTACACACAGCAATTAAGTTTGGTAAAAGATGAGATGAGAATATATGTTGTGTAATGCAACAGCTTAGAATATTGTGTGTGTAATCTACACACGTACTTCAATTGAGTGATGGTTTGGATGTCATTTGAAAAAGAAGAATAATATTATTCTATAAAACCATTTAAAATGTTAATAAACAGAGGATGAAAAAATATGGCAAACTTGCAATAAATTATTTCAAATGCTACGGTAAACCTATTCTGATCTTCTCTGTGTTAGCTCCTACAGTATTGCAAATATAAAACAAATTTGACCATTATTTCTCTGTTTTGCAGGGCCTCAACAAGGAGTTTGCGCATATTCAAATGGTGGTTTTACCTGACTTCCTCGCACAGTAAATATATAATTGTTTTAAAAATATATATATAAATATATAATTATACAATAAACAAGATTCATGAATGCAGAGCAGAAGTGAGAGAAATGAGTGAAGTGCATAAACTTAATGATGAAGAAATGAATGTGTACAGGAAACAATATAATGATTCATACAGTGGAAGTTTGCATCATATCTGGGCATGAAGTAGCAGTGTGCCGGCGTCTCCATTAATGTGTGTGTTTAGTGGCAGTGGTCTTTGCCGCCACCTCAAACAAAGATGGAGTGAGTTGTATGTAATACAGCTTTTAGAAGATTGGATTGGATTCTTCAATTCAATGGTAATTCACACCTCCCCTTCCCTTGCTGTTACTTAATTACTTCAACTTCCCCATCTATCTATCCCCTTGGAGTTACTCACTCAAACACTTCAACTACGTACAAACAAAGCTGCAGATGAGTTATTACCTTCAACATACCTTCAGCCCGAGGCAGGCATGCAACATCCCCACCCTAAACAATAATCTGATCCTCAACTTTACTGATTTTCCAATTTGCCAATCTTCAAATCAGGTTGCCTTGTCGAATTTTCAAGTCCTTCAAAGAGTAAATTGAATCAGGCAACACTTCTACTTTGCACCCTCTTAAATCAATCAATCTTAACTTATGCAAATTTCCAATCCCTTCAGGAAGTCTAGAAAGACACTGACATAGTTTAAGATCTAGAATTTTCAAGTTATCCAAACAGCAAATTGAATCAGGTAACTCCTCAACTTTGCTTTTACTTAAATCAATCATCCATAGGTGACGCAAATTTCCAATCTCATCAGGAAGTCTAGAAATACACTCACATCCTTCAAGGTCTAGAATTTCCAAGTTATCCAGAGAGCAAATTGAATCAGGTAACTCCCCAACTTTGCTCAGACTTAAAGCAATCTTGATTAGGTGACGCAAATTTCCAATCCCTTTAGGAAGTCTAGAAAGACACTCACATCCTCCAAGGTCTAGAATTTCCAAGTTATCCAAAGAGCAAATTGAATCAGGTAACTCCTCAACTTTGGTCCCACCTAAATTAATCTCGCTTAGGTGACGCAAATTTCCAATCTCTTCAGGAAGTCTAGAAAGACACTCACATCCTTCAAGGTTTAGAATTTTCAAGTTATCCAAAGAGCAAATTGAATCAGGTAACTCCTGAAATTTGGTCAAACTTAAATCAATCATGCTTAGGTGATGCAAATTTCCAATCCCTTCAGGAAGTCTAGAAAGACACTCACATTTTCTAAGGTCTAGAATTTTCAAGTTATCCAAAGAGCAAATTGAATCAGGTAACTCCTCTATTGTGCTCCATCTTAAATCAATCAACTTTAGGTGATGCAAATTTCCAATCTTTCTAGGTAGTTTAGAAAGAACGCGACAACTGTTAAGATGTAGTGTTTGCAAGTTATCCAAAGAGCAAATTGAATCAGGTAACTCCTCTATTTTGCTCCATCTTAAATCAATCTTTCTTAGGTGACACAAATTTCCAATCCCTTCAGGAAGTCTAGAAAGACACTGACATGATTTAAGATCTAGAATTTCCAAGTTATCCAAAGAGCAAATTGAATCAGGTAACTCCTCTATGTTGCTCCAACTCAAATCAATGTATCTCAGTTGAAGCAAATCTCCAATCTCTTTTGGGAGTTTCTGCAACTTACAGCCCCACAATCTCAATACTCTTACACATTTTAGACCATTGAACATTTTTGGAGTAAGTTGTTCTGGAGAAAGGTCTTCAGCAAAAAAACTGCGAAGTTTTCCAAAGGCATCACAAATGGAATCAAGATCCATAGGCCTTCCAATTTTCTGCCATGATAGGTGCCGTAAATTTTCAATCTTCACCTTATCCTCTTGCCGATCAACACTGTAGCATTCATTTTTGGTAAGAAACTCTGCAAAATCATGCACTATGTCATGCATTTTGCATGATATAATGATGTTCGAATCCATGTCATCTTTCTCAAAATCTTGGAACAAAGAACGCATTGTTAAATTCCCAAAAACCTCCCGGCCTTTTTGTTCCATCTGATTATGATCATTGCTGCCATTTGTTGTTGTGAGATAACCTTGTGCCATCCAAATTCCGATGAGCTCATCTACATATAATCTATAATCCTTGGGAAAGACAGCACAATATGAGAAACATCTCTTCATCTGTGGGGTTAAATCATCATAGCTTAGATGCAAATGAGGAAAGAGATCTGTTTCCACTTTCACCATCGTCGTCCAAACTTTATCATCCAGGTTGGATAAAACATATTGCCATTCCTCCTCAGTATCTTTGCATTGTAGCAGGCTTCCCATGACCTTAACAGCAAGTGGCAGTCCTTTGCACTTTTGAGCAATTTGCTTACCAATTTCTTTCAGTTTCTGCTCCCTGCTGTTGCTGCTGTTTCCCCCGGAAAATGCTATCCTGCTAAGCAACGACCAAGCATCTGTGTCGGATATTAGGTCCACTGGATGCTCATACACACTTCCCATCATTCTTGCAACGTTCGTTTTTCTTGTGGTCACCAAGATTCTACTCCCAGAACAGTTGTTACCAAGATCCTTGAGACAGTTGTTAAATGGCTCCCACTTTGCATAATCCTCTGTCCACACATCATCCAACACAAGTAGGAACCTATAAGAAAAAAAAATATATATATATAAACATTATCAATATATATAAACAATGCACTCAGATAGCTATATATACTAGCTAGAGCTAGATTATTTAACTCCACCGTGCCATTCATCAATTCATACTATACTATACATGAAAGAGTAACAAACTACTCCTAAAATATTGCCAATAACCAGGATCGGAGCCAACAAACATAAACATTTTAAAAAAAAGTATAGTAATTCAAACAAATAAAATTCAACTGTACTAATTAAAATCTTGCTTGCTAAAAAAAAATAAAAAATATATATATATATACTGATCATAACTGAAAAATTAAATACTCCAGCGCAGCAGCAAAATATAATAATATAATAATACACTGTAACATATATTATTCTAACAGATGGATCGAACCTAACCTTTTATGAGACAAAGTGGTTTGGATTTTGTCCAGTAACACTTGCAATTGAGACAGATCTGTGGAGCTTTTAGTGGTTGACTCAACAATGGCTTTCGCAATCTTGATCTCGTCAAAAGGTTGTGAAACACAAACCCACACCCTTTGAGGAAAATGAGCCTTTATCTGTTGATCGTTATAGACTAGTTGAGCAAGGGTAGTTTTCCCTATCCCTCCCGCGCCCACTATGGAAATGACGAGAGGGCCAGGGGGACCTTGAAGCAACTTGCTTATTAAAGCACTGGCATCGGATTCCCGACCTTGAATCACTGATGCATCCACATATGCAGTAGTGGGCACTGGCTTCCATTCTTGATCACAAGTGTGTGTGCGCGCTATAGATGCTTGATCAAATTTGAACTGATCTTTCTCTCTCGTAATCCGATCAAGTCTGGAATCAAGATCCTTTATTTTGTTGGCGATGTCTCGATGCATAACAATCCTTTTGAAATGGAAACAAGAAGGCAGGAAAGAGCTACAGCTTCCTGCAGTTGGAGCTGCTGCAACCTGGGACGACCTCTCCATCTGTTGTCTGCGACTTCTGGTGCTCCACTCGTCAAGAACATCTTCCACATCATAGCAGAAGGCTTTCATCTCTTCCACCCACAGCTTGACGCTCTCTTCCTTGAAGCTTCTCCTCTCTGCATCGACCAACACCGCCCTGATTTTGTTGAGCTTTGATGAGAGGTTTTTGATCTCCTTCTCCACACCCAACGCTGCTCTTAGCTCCTGGGCTTGTTCCTTGATGATGATGGACAGCTGATCCACAACAATGGAGATGATAGCGTCGGCCATGATTCACTCTGTAGCAGTGGAGACTGAATGACTTTTAGAGAGAGAGGAGATGATAAGGTTCTTTGCTTTGCTTGTGTCTGTCTGTTGCTAACATATATCATTCCTATGTGAGTAGATTACGTACATGATAAAGTGTAATATAATATAAAGTAAAAAAGAAAATGTAATTTATTTTAATTTAATAAATTCAATGTATTTGTTTATGCATGTTGTAGTAGTGTCCCATTCCCATTCCCATTATTTCCATAGCGGTCATTGTCTATGTCTTGTGGACGTACACTTTACAGCTAATAGGTTAGAGAGAAAATTGGAGTAGTCATAGTACTTATTATGGACATGGTGGACCTCTTTCATTGATGATTGATTTCTAAGTATTACTTCGCTTCTATATCTGAATGTATAATCCAACAACGAACTCCATGGGTTGTAGCCTTTTTGGAAAAAACCAAAAGTATTAAAGAGTACTTTCGAGTATTTTTAACTTGTGATAAAAGTAATATTCCATAATAAAAATGAGTATCAATGTGGATAGTTATAATTGAAATAAAAATTATGTCCTAACAATTTTTATATTTAAATAAATTAAGTCTTCATAATGCAATATTGATGACTATTGTGAATCAGTAAAAATTAATTTATTTTTTGTTAAAAGTGACATATCGATTATAACATGCTTACTGATATTACTGAAGAGTAATTAATTAAAATATTATTATGTAGTAAAGTTATACAATATATATGACTGAGACTTCAATTTTCGTTATATTTAAATTGTTTCTCTTACAAATTGTTATTATGAAAAAATCACAATTTCCTTTTATGTACATTAATTTAATTGTTATAATAATAATAATATAAAACAAAATGCACATAATTATAAGGTTAGAAAATATTTTGCAATGAGTCAAGTTAAGAATAATAATTAGTTCACTATTGGAAATTATGCAATATCCGACCACATGAAAGTGATCTTAAATCAAGTTGAAAGTAAAAAGTGATCGAAAATAGCAATAAAGGTTTTTCCGGATACCAAAAGTGGTCGGAACAAGACTTTCGACTTGATTTAAGATCACTTTCAGGTATCAGAAATTCCATAATTTTCAGTCGTGGTTGTTGGACTATTCCATTTCAAAAAATTATTTTAGAAAACATAATCGATCAAACTCATTTCATCAATTGCAATATAAAATGTTCATTATTATAATTTATATAATTGTATATCGCTCCAAATATTTTTAAAATATTATAAAAAATTCATTATGTGCAACACACATATGAAAATACTAGTAAATTATAAAATTTCAAATATCTCATTGAGACGTTTAATTTAAAACAAGATCAATATTGAGAATATATTAATCGAATTTTAAAATACATAAAAATATACCTTCTATTATAAAATATTATTATTTATATCAAAATTATATTTTATATTAAAATAATTAAAGAAAAAATAAATTTTTAAATTATGAAAGTACAAATTATTTTAGTGTATGAAAAAACATTTGAAAAAGTAGTTATAAATAGAAACTGCATTGTAACAGGGTCAGTAGTATTAAAAAAAAAATGGTGTAAATAAGTTTGAGATTAAAAAAAAAAATATTTGGTATAAAAAATATTGAGAATATCTTCATTGGTGTAAATTTTGTTTTGTTTTGTTTTGTTTTGTTTTTTGTTTTTGTTTTTGTTTTTTTTTTTGTTTTTGTTTTTTTTTTTTTTTTATTTAGAGATGGTCTACATTTAGTACTTATTTATACTAGTTTCCGGACTTTAGAATCGGATTTCAAAACCAAAAATAAAAAAAAAAAATAGGTTCAAGTGTCATTCCGCACCATGAACCATAAGCGATTCTTCATGCCGCACCATGATCTTTCATAAGTGCTGATTCGATCCATAAACTAAAAAAAATTTGTCGCCTAGCCTTTTTTACAGGTTGCCCGATAAACTTGATGATATGGAACTGGTAATATCTGATGTGGCGTTATTAATTTTAATTAAAAATGAGAGATGGAGTCCATGTAAGCATTTTTAATTTAAAAAAAAAAAAAACTGCATCACCACCGTGGCATTCGCCTCTCTCATCCCGCTCCGACGTTCTCTTCCGTCGATAATATCTGATGTGGTTTGTTTGATTAGAGGAAGTCCCACGGTCACATAGTCCCTTCCGGTGTGTCCACTGAGTTATCTGACTCACCCACAACTTTTCCGGTGATAGGAGTCTCTGGTGGCCACTGGTGGGACGTCCGACGTTGTGGGCTAAGGTGCTGCGAGGACACTCACAAATTCTACAAGGATTCAAGCGTCGCTGGCTGGGAAAGAAACGACGACGTCGTACATTCAGTGACAACAATGAAAGTAAGTATTTCAGTATCCCAAGTAATTAAATGGTATTTACTGGTTTTGAATTTGAGCAAAATCTTCTGAACTACTATATTGCATGTCCACCATTGTTGCAGGGAATAAATGATATGATCATGTCTTCAGACTACAAGGATTCTGAGGTGCAAGTGAAGAGCATTCATGCCCAGGATTCTTTACAGGGAAGCATTCTTTTGGTGGTCACCGGAAACTTGATCGGAAAAGATGAAGTGACCAGAAATTTCAGCCGCACTTTCCTTCTTGCCAGACAAGAGAGAGGTTTTTTTGTCTTGAATGATATCTTACTCTGTGTTGATACACACCCATCAACCCATGAATCTGCAACCCTCTCCATCCATAAACCACCAGATTCTCCTCCTTCAGCTAATGATTCAGGTGCTGCGATAATCGTGAAAGTTGACGGTGATAAGAAGCTCTCTGCTCCATATCCATAAACTTGGGTTCATTCGTGTAAAAGGTAAGTTCTTTTTGCTTTCCTTTTCGTACGGACTATTTCTCAATCACCGAATAACTTGCCTGTGAAGACCGGCCGTTACTGTTTTCCCTTTCACAGGCTAACTCGTGTGTGGAGTCGGGCACATAATCTGTTATTAGAATGGGTTCAAATTCTCGGCCAACATTTAATGAAATTCTTGTGGTTGACGACGATTGGGCAAAGTATAGTGTCCTTGGCTTCCCATTGGACGTTGACTATGATTCTTTGAGCGAAGGAGCATGTAGTGACCGACCACCTGATTTTTCTCCGGTTGTGTGGTTGTGGGTGGCTGGAGAGTTCATGATGGTGAAGAAGATAGAGGGCGAGCAAGAAGACTGTGTTGACTGTGGTGATGATAAAAAAAGTTGACTGTGTTGATGAAAATAAAATATTAAAAAAAATCCATGTCAGCAAATTATCACCTGCAACCTATAGTTAACCTGTAAAAAAGGCTAGGCGGCAAAATTTTTTTGATTTGTGGATCGAATCAGCACTTGTGAAAGTTCAGGGTGCGGCATGAAGAATCGCTTATGGTTCATGGTGCGGAATGACACTTTAACCAAAAAAATACAATAATTGTTGCTTTTGCTATTATTGTACGTAGTACAATAATTCTTTGCCATTATTGTTCTTACCATGGTCTCGATCTCTCTCTCACATATATATAGATCCAAAATATCTGCAAATTAATTTCGTAGATTTCATTATGATGCATACCCCACCCAACCCCAACCCCGGGCCAAAAAAAAAAAATCAATTTTTTTTTTAAAATCCATACATTGAGTACTATTCTTCCCAATACATTTTAGTACTATGTATATATAGATATTTTCCATGATTTGGTGCAGATGTAGATGAATTTGTTGAAATATAATATGTTATTGGTCTTAATTATTTTTAACATACTAAGAACAATAAAAAGAAAAATATAATCTAAGAACAATAAAAAATAATATATAATCTGTTATATGAAATGAGAATATAAGATTCCAATATTGTTTGTGCTTAACCGCTCAAGAAATGGTAAATATCATTTTCATTTAGTAAAACTCTACCTTATGGAGGCTTAGAAAAAAACATTGCGAAAAATTTGGTATCGATCCAATCTGCACAGTAAATCAGTAATTGACCCTTCAATTTTTGTTGGATGTAACAAGAGTTTCACCGTCTATTGAATGTGACAACTTACCTAAAGATTTAAGACTGTTTCAACTGACAATGTGTTTCTCAATTAAAAATTTAATTATTAAATATATTAATTTATGAACACTTTACAATTGCAAAATATACCTTCAGCCGATTTGGAGGAGGTCAATTTTATTTTTTGCTTTTAACAAGAAAAACTTATAACCACTACCAGAAAATTTGTATGTATAAGAATTATACTTTATCCACTTCACCGATGCTTTCAAGTTTAAACTCAATAATGCTTTACAAAAAGTTTTAATGAATTCAATATGTACTATATTTTTTTCATGTTGTAATTTAGTCTTCCTTATAAACCATTGTCTTGTCACTCTTGTGGGCACATTACAGCTAATCATGACCAGGGATCGAGTCTCACCAGCGGCAGTGTGGGAGCAACCTCTCAAAGTGAGGGGGGCTCCTTGTGCGCAGTGAGCACCGGTCTAGCCTCTGTGGTTCATGTTCAGTTGAGTCACCATGATTTACATCCTCCCAAATGCTCTGTCGGGCCGGGATGTGGGGGGTCCTTAGGGTTGGGGTTCAGCCTTTTGGAATAATGATTGATATTGAGAATAATAATAATGTGGATAATCATGATTCTAATACTGAAAATGGCAATAATGTGCATATTGATATTAACAATATTGACCAAGTAAAGAATGACAATTTAAGTAATTCACCCAACAATAATGATGATGATGCTTTATATGAAACTGACAATTTAATGTTGGCCAAGATTATTTACAAGAACGGCGTCATAAATATTCAAAAACCAGACGTGGATAACGCAATGTCAAGCGACAACACATGATGACGCTCAACGAATATTCTAGAGCACTCTCAGGCACACCACTTACCGCGCACAACGAATCACACCGTGGCACTAAACGACGGTCCTTGCAACGTCAAGCGACAACACATGACGACGCTCAATGCAACACTGACAGAAAGTCAGACTAGAATGAAAAACGGAGAACTCCAACAGGAACCAAAATTTGCAAAAGGCATTTTTAAAAAATACTATTTTTTTAATGTTTTTATATTTATTTTCAAATACCCTA